CTCCAACAACTATCACTCGATGGAGAAGAGCTGGATAGAAGTGGGGCATGTGTGAAGGAGCTTTATCCTTAGGTTTGCCTAATAAGAGGAAGTTGTTCATTGCATTTGGTATGCTCTTAGAAGGTGGTGACTCATCTCCTGGTGGATTATCTTCCTTCCAATGACAACTTGTTCATCTATCAATTAGAGATAATTTACTCGATGAATTCATGATCCTTTTATCACAAATTATTCAGTAATTTTAAGAATAATGCTCTGCTAATCATGTTGACGAGATTTTCACCGATGATCTAGATGATCTAGTGGATCATCTAGTGATCTGCAAGAAAGTTACGATAATCAAATAAAAATATAAGTTTTGACTCTAAGAGAATTTAAACCCGCACCAATTGTTTATTTGTATGAGAGAAATTGAAATAAGTATTCTAATGCCATAATCAAGTGACATCATCATGATATATCTCTATTATAATTAAGGGGTAGTTTAGGTATTAAAATTTTCAAAACCTTTCAAGGAAAGGTGTGAGCTTTAATCCCACATCGCTTTTGTGTCAAAGTTTTAGACAAATATATAGTAATATCACATTTGCAAGTAATGAGTCCTTTTCTCTGATGTGTACAACTACTTCTTATCCTATAGTCGGTTGGCCACCGATGATGTAGAAGGAGAATGACATGCACATGCCCCCATCAGTCCTAGCCACTTGAGCCCTTACTCGCGGATTCCCCTGACTACACTTCTAGCCTACTTGTAGGCTTGACTAGCTGGCAAGTCCTCGGGTCGTGAACAATTGTGAATATCTAATTGATCATTTTTTCAAAATTAGTTACAAAAGATGATATGTGATTTGTGTCTAATAGTGATGCTTGCATCTAGAATGGCTAAATGTTTTTACTTGAATCTTCATGTAATCAATAAGTCTTCAATCCTCAATTTTTTTTTTATAAGCCTTCATCATCTAACCATTTCTTATTTTGCATCATATCCAACATTCAAAAATCTCATTAAAAAACTTATTGTTTTTTGAAAACATATTAAGAATCTTTGAGCCTTCCAAATGTTGAATCACTTATTTTGCTCATCCATTTTTATTCAAATTTAAGACAACATTTTTGAACTTGACAAATGAGAGTTGGATGTTTGGATCACATTGAAATAATCAAGATTTTGATCACCTTTTGTTCACATATGTATTTGATATGTCATTGTTGAGATGTTGTGATCAAAGAGTTGGATTTGACTTTTGCATAATCTTGTGATTTTGTAAGATAAGCCTATTCTTGCCCAAAGACCTAACGGATGGAGCACTTGTGATTTTCCCTATATGTTCACCTGATGTGGTTTCTAGCAACCACAAGTTTTTAATTCATGGTCTTGTTTATGTGGCAAACTCCTAATTGCCCATCAACTTGATAATGACCTATATTGAGTCACCCTTCAAAGTATTTTTATTAATATTTACTTGAAAATAACTTGAAACATTGTGCCATGAACTAGTTAAAATAATATTAGACTCAAATACTTTGCTATATTTGATCCTCTATTATAGATTTTTAATATAAGGTCTGTAATAGTCATGATATCAACAACATGATATATCCTGCTGAAGCACACAAGTTATTATCTATCATTACATGGCGGCTTGCAAACTAGATTAAGTTGTCTCTTGTTCTTTATGTGCAACGATGTTTACTTTGAGAAATTAAGTCAAATTTCATCTCAAATTGGTACCCTTGATTTTCTTTGTACATATGGGGAGAGACTTCTAGAACTACTAAGTAAAATGTGACTTGCATATAGATGTCAAATGCCTCAAAATGAAGATCATCGATTTTTATTTCTTAACATGAAAATGAGCATTGATGTTGCATAATGACTTAGTGAACATAATATTAGTGAATTTTTACAAGAAACAAATGAGATTGCGGCCTTGATTAAGTACTATTGTGGCCATGCATGTGGATCATTGATAGCATTTATTTCTATGTTCTTGAAAGACAATTTGGGCTTTTTGTAGTATTTTAACATTTGTATCTCCCAATATAGTCTACAATTTTAATGTATATAATAGTTAGAACAAACTTTTTGATTCAAAGTAGAGTTACATATAAATTCATTGACTCAATGGTTTTATACATAGACTAAAACTAATCATCAAGGAAAATATTGTGATGTTTTCTCATTATCACTTGAATTTTAAAATTTATTCATGAATTTTAACAATTACCACTACACTCTTACTTGACATTCAAACATTTGACTTGTTTGGTAAGGACGTGCTTCCTTATTCTTCAAAAACTCTATAAAACATATTTGACAATTGCATAGTTTCATCAATATGAACTATAGCATTTCAAAAATATCAATAATAATATAATTTAATGTGGGTTTTGTCGCCTTTTTCTCCTAGGGTCCCTTCTTTTCTCTATTTACATTGTGCCCATAATTTTAACCCATTTATTATGATATAATTGTTATCACCTCAATACTAATGGAAAATTCATCCATTGGGTGCAATTAATTCGAGGTGTCTGGTTTCCACCCTCTTTTTTATTTTTTCATTTTTCTCATTATACATAGTCAACTCTCATTTTGACATTTATGTCCTTTAGAGTAGACTAGCATGACAAATTCTTCATCAATGATAATGTGTATGGAATGCAAGGGTCTATCTAAAATATATGAGACTATAATTTACAAATTCATTGAGTTTATGCCTACCTAGGAAATAAGTAACCACATGACATGTAGAAGAAGTGATTTGTTACATATTCCTAATAGATAACTAATCAATTTGTGCAAAATGTTCATTCCATAAATTTAATATGATTAACATACACCATTATCACTCTTGTATCGTACCAATATTATGATCACTAAGGCTTTCAATATATGCTTGTAATTACAAGCATATATGTTCGAAGAATATGAAAAAGCTAAGATAATTAGTCTCCATAATCAACTAGTGAGTATAGAATTCTATGTATGACTAACTCTAGGACTACACATAAGAATCAAATTATTCTTAGCACTATAATCCCTACAAATCAACTCTTGACACATTACCTTCGCCAAAAGGTATGTATATTCATGCAAGTACATAACAATAATAGGGGTGATAGATTAAGATAGTATGCCATCTAGTAAGCCCTCAATATTGTCTATCTTATGTTTTAAATTTTACTAGTCCAAACTAGGATGTCAAGCTAATCTTCAAAAAAATCAAGTACTAAGCAAAATTCTTAGTGAAGATTACATGCTTTTAAGCTAACTAGCTATTTACTATCAGTACAACATTGGTAATATGAAGGGCATATTCATGATTGACGTGTTCATATTTATGTTTTCATTGATCCCTTTATATCTCTATATAGATAGAATGTAAGAATGTACTCTTTTGGTCAAGCATGCAACACTGTAGATAATAATATGTAAATTAAAATGTGAAGAAACCTAACCAATTTCCTCAAATGTACTAGGTCCATAGGAGCATTGTCAAAATGGATCTAATTCATAGACTTGGAAATCCTTCATATGTTATTCTTGATGTCACAATCAGATTAAGGGTTTTGTCCATAGTTTGTAACTTGATCTCAATGCTAAGTCAAAATTTTAGACTAACGTTAGAATAAGATAAGTCAAGATAAAAAGTAACAAACAATGCAAGAAGGTTTGTATCATTATGATTCTCAACACATAATCAATGTGGCCTCATTGAAAGTATTTATGACAACTAATGGAATTGGATAATGAATATTCCTATATATGTTTATATTTTACAAGTTTCACTAAGAAAACATTAAAGAATTATATTAAAAACTTTCATTGCTCTCAATTTTTTATTACCATTTAAATATATCTGCCACAACTTTCCATAGAATCACAATGTTATTCAAACATGCTGAAAAACATATTGATGATTATAGTAGAATTTCAAAATAGGCTTGCCAAGTGGAGTAACCATTGGATTTTTATTAAATTATATTATTATTAAATTATATTACATCTTTATCAAATTTATTCACAAGCATAAATGCCCTTTAGAAAGTACTACATCCAACTACTAAATGACGTCCTCATAAAAATAATAGCAGATAAAAATGGTAGGGTATTTGCATTCATCTTGTACCTTGCATGTATCATTGATAAATGAATCACACTACTGAAGATAGACGGTATCAACAAGAACTGGGTAGATCAGTCTAAATTTATTACTGTTATTTTTAAAGTTGAAAATTTTGACAAATATATTATGATTTTTAGAAGAATGACAATTGACTGGGAATAATTACTTATGAAAATGAAATTCAGATAGAAATTCTAAAAAAAACTCTGGGCGTGATTTTATTTATAAAATTGAATGTGCAAAACTTTTCGCCTTCAAAGAAAGCCAAAGTGTGGAGTATGGCATAGTGTCAACGTCCTTGACGCTGTTCTTTGACCTCCTACGCCTCACCTCGTATGGTAAGAACAGAGACTTGACCGAAGAATGGGTCTTTACAATGATCCAAATTACTCACCTACTTCTGATCATAGTAGAAATGTGCAACGGGTGAATTCCGAGTTTTCCAGATTTCTAGCGCTGACAATCCGTAGAACCTCACATCCATCAACTGCTACTTGTCCCACCGTTGAGAACTCCGCAAAGCGTACTTCGGGAGGGATTGGTGGCCCTGGTCGATGAAGAGTGGAGAAGCACTTGTCCCGCCGTAGGGGCATCCGCCGTGCCCCCTCTTTGGGCATATTCTTCGGCCGGGAGGATCCCTTGTGGTGGGATTGCTGCTGTGCTCGCTCCGCCTTTCCATCTCCATCTGTTTCCTTTTTCTTCTTTGTTTTTTGCTGCGGGGAGTGACCTTGGTGAGGCTGGTGGGCTTGTGCTTGAGCAGTTTTTATCTTTGTCTTCGGGGGGGGGGGGAGGAGCGAGGTAGGGGAGGGAAATCTAATTGTGCTTCGCCCTCTTTCCTCATCACGTTTCAAGCACTCCTGGGTTCCAGTGGGGATGCAACCACCTTCGTCGTCGAACCCTCGTAAGCTGCCCTTTTAGCTTACTTAGTGATGCAGCTTATTTACTGGTCTGGGATTTTCGCCGGTGATGGTTTCTCTCTCTCGTGATGAGAGAAAGCAGTTTGGTTTGTTCTTTATAATTTTGTTGTTTTTCTTCCTTCTAAGAGACAAGGTTGGCCTGTGCCATAGAGATGATCAGATTCGTCCCTTCCTTCCTAGATTCCCCAACTGTTCTCCTCTTGGTGATCAGACCCGCGAATATATTGTTAAGTTTCTTAAAGAAACCATGGTCCATTCATCTTCATGTCTGGTACTCAGCCCACTGAATTGCCTTCTGCTGTCATCGCAACCCAGTCTGCAATTGCTGCCTTTGGAAGCCTTCACTGGGGCTAAAAAGGGAAAATTTTCCGGTCTCGAAAATGATTTCAAAAGAGCCCCTGGCTGTCTAAAACGGTAGGGAGGATGTCTAACTCACTGGGATCTTGCTGTAATTAACAGGAAACGGTCGCAGTTATTGCTCATGGATCCAGGAGACAATGGAGGGCAAGAACTTTGGGGGTCTCCCTTTTTGGCTCCTGGATTCTCCAATGCCTCTTTAATTTCTCTTTCTTTTTTTAGGGTTTAGGACCTGAGCATCTGGCTACTACTTTGACTTCATTGCCCATGAGGGTACTCTCAACGTTTCTTGACAAAAGATGGGGTTGATATCATGTCCTAAGTATTATTATGCCCTAAGAAGTATTAAATACGTAGCTTGACATGGAGACAGGAGAGGCGCTTGATTTGCACCCATTATCAAACACTAATTTTGTTCGGATGGGTATCACAACTTCCTGGGATCATTGGTTCTTTTGAAGTACATGATGGTCGAGAAGGGTCATTAAATATTTAACCATAATATGATATCTTCGAAAACCAAGGTACATGGTCTAATTTATATCTTCGAAAACCCATATTTGGTAATTAAATATTTAACCATAATATGATATTAAACCAAGGTACTTGGATTTTCTTTCCACATTTGAGGATGGTCTCTCTCCCCATTCCCCAAGGAATAAGTGTGACTATCATATCGTTCACTACCCTTAGATTCTCAATCAATTATCAATAATCTTTGATGCAGTGAATCTTTTGTTAGATGCCCAACTTCAAGCATCCATTTGGCCTGTTAATTGTATATTTCTTGATGCAAAGTTTTTTTTCTCTATTATCTCAATTATTTTCCTACATTACCATCTCGATTTGATGTTTCTCTTCAGTCGATATTATACCATTTTATTTGCTTTTTAAACATAATATAGGCCCAGAGGATAAATTCATGCACAAAAATCGTCTACAAGAGCATGCTCAAAGATCTGAGATCCCACTGCCACTATATCAAACAATCAATGAAGGAACACCACACGCTCCGCAGTTCAGATCATCAGTCACAATTGATGGAGTTACATTCCAAACATCTCAGACATTTTCTCAGCGGAAGGAAGCTGAGCAAAATGTGGCTAAGGTGGCTCTTGAAGGTTTATCCAGAAAGATAGAGCAACAGGGGTGCCCCTTAATTAGTTCTGTATGTTTTTCATCCCTCCCTACTCTACTAAATATGCAACTATTTTTCTGATAAGCTTTGTTCGACTTGTTCATTGAATTCTCCCCCTTGCGTCTTTTACTTGAAATTTCTTTCTATTTAGACGTGGTTCCTATATTTTATTTTATTTTATTTTATTTTTGGATGTTACTGAAACCTGTTTATTTGTTGTTTAAATAAGAGGTTCATAACTTTTTTTTGGGAAATCCAATTTCTGGAGTTGGTGGAAGACTGTGCCAAGATATTTTCACTATGATCACTCCACAATAATTGGAAGCTAAGAACTATAGAACCGTGTTGATTATTTTGACGTGAGATCATTAAATCCGGTTCTGAGAATCGCATTTTATGTTCCCCCACACAAAAACCTTGGAGCCTAAATTGATTGAAAAGGTGTCACTTTATTGCAACTGATTTTATTTTTTTTCTTCAACTTTTTTGTTCTAAGAACTGTGTCTGCATTGAGTTTTCTAACCAGTGTTCAATAGATTATCATAAGATTTAAGGATTTTTATATTCTTAAGGCTACTAACATTTCGTCGAAGGTTTATTTATTTGATGCCATTAAATACCCCTCCAATCATTAATTCTTAAGGCTACTAACATCTCTTGTTGTTTCAAAAAAGATAACAAAAGAATTCTTCAAAATTCTGATCCTGTCCCCTATATCAGACACTTATCAATTGTACCAGTCATTACATCCACTATCTTGGACTCTCTCTCTCTCTCTCTCTCTCTCTCTCTCTCTCTCTCTCTCTCTCTCTCTCTCTCTCTCTCTCTCTCTCTCAATTGCTTATTGGCTCACACGCTATATCTCCCCCCAGGACGCGACATTTTGCAAATCTATTCTGGAGGAATATGCAGTAAAGATGAACTTAGAGCGGCCGGCCTATACCTGCTCCCAGTTAGAAGGACTTCTTCCCACATTCACCTCCTCTGTGCTTTTTGCCGGAAGAGTACACAAGGGCAGCATCGGAAGGAACAAGAAAGAAGCCCAGCAGCTGGCTGCACGCGCTGTTGTTGAGTCAATTTTAGGTCAACTCTTTCTATTCTCTGTTTATTTTCTTGAATATACTCAAAGTCTATGCATAGCTTTGACCTACCCTTTGATTTCTTTTCTTTTTTTTTTTGAAGGTGATGGCGACTCGCAGAAGAGGATTCTCATGTCTCAGATCATTAGATCAAAAGTAAAACTTTTTGCTACCCTCAGCCAAATTAGGCAAAGTTCTGAAGCACCTCCTTCCCCTCTCGAGGTGGGGGTGCAGCCCAAGGAAGAACAGGTGGATCCCCGTGAGCCACAAGAGGGTCCTCAGACAGGACAGGTCATCCTGAGCTGCCAAATCATCCCTGATGATTCTCATCCCAGAGTCTTGGGCCCAGTCAAGAGCGAGAGCTGCTTTGGACTGGCCCACTGTACCAAAGTCAAACCTTTGACCCCCTCCCCATTAGGTCCATCCAGTGGAGCTGAAGGGGCTTCCTCGAGCTGCACCAGAGAGCGGTCAAAGGAGCGTGTAGGGAGACTCAAGGTGCCCAGATCCAAGAAATATAGAACTTGTGAGCCGTAAGTTAATTTCTCTGTGTAATGGTTTTCTTCCCGAATGCTCTGACCTGGGCTTCTGTCATTGTCGGTTGCATTTCTCAGGCTTGTGGCATTGTTCTCAGTATCCACACGTTGAAAATTTTGAGAAATTATGGACTGTGGATGCATCTATGCTTCTTTATTTCCTCGAAGAAATACTGTATATAATCTTTCTTCTTCTTTCTTAACCCGATTGGGATTATTCCCCATTTTTTTAGCTGGAACCAATTATTTAATCATTTTCCTATGGAATCGTCCAGCATTATGCTATATACCGAGATGGGTCTTTCTCCTTATGTCTCTCCCATTACTGAGGAGACCCTTGCAGGCCTGAGATGGAACCCAAGGGCCCACTTGAGCTCTGGTCAAACTCTGCGTCTTGAAGATGGGAAAGTGAGTCCACTTGTTGGGTAGACTTTCCGAGTTTCTTGGTGTCATGGCCGCGGTCAACACCTATCAATCTTCGTCAAACATGTCATTATGTGTGATCTCAGCTTCATCAGATTACCTTCCATAATGCTTAGATTACTCGGTGCTAATAAAAATTGTCTACGTTATTGTTGGTCACCATCTATCTCATCTAATCTCTGGCCATGGTCGCTTCCAAGATTAGAAATTTATAGTGGGCACGTTCTCCCTGATCTACTGTACGACTTATGCTTGGATTAGTGAGGAAGATTGACCCACAATCTTCATGGGTTCCTTGAACCATCTGATATATCCTCTTTATTGGAAGAGGGAGAAGGAGAGAGAGAGAGAGAGAGAGTCGTGACAACAATTAGCTGACTTAATCATGCTCCTGACATCGCTCGTAGTGTTTGTCAAAGGAGCTTCAAGCAATGTTTATCAAAGGAGAACATAATTGCATCTCATGACCCAAAAACATTATCAGAGGATAAGAAATACAAACAAACAACTTTCATCGGCACCGGTTGAATGACTTCTGATTCAAGAGAGAGAAGCAACAAGGTTCAGCCATGCTTAAGATCCCCAGAGACTGATCTGAAGGAAACAAGGGATTAGGGGTTTCTGATTCATCCCCAGTCGCCCAATCTTTTCACCTGGTTATGAAGAATCATAATATTATTGTAGAAATCTAGGAGGGGATAGTCTGGGCAACGAGGAGGAGACAAGAAATTGAAGAACATCTGAAGAACATCTGAAGAACATGAAGATGCCAGGGTGATAAAACACCAGGCTTCCTCCTCCTCCACCAAGAAGATGAGACCCTGGTCAGGATTCCAGCTCTGTAATAAAGAACAGTTACTCGTCAACATTCCGGCTTTATGAAATAGTTGGAGCAGATTCAAGCCATCTGGGTAATTGGAATAAAAAATTCCTCTGAATCTTCTGAGCAGATCCTCCCACACTTCTGCCTTCTTTCCTTGGGGGAGGAGCAACGAGAAGAAAGAACATGGATTAATCCCATCAAACAGAAGCTCCCAATCCCCTGCAGAAGAAGAAGAAGAAGAGCATGCACATAGAATCGTGATTAGAAATCGGTTAAAAGAAGGGGGGTCGACGACGACGAGCAGGTGGTTCTTCATCAAAAGAGAGGAACGCCGCCGGTGGCTCCATCGCCGCCGCAACGGTCCTCCGCAGCCTTTTCTCCGCCGCGATACCTCGAATTCAGTTGGCGCAAGTGGGGGACCGCGTCCCACCGCCGCCTCGCCGGCATGGCGGTAGAGGGGGGACAGGTTCCCGACCTGCACCAAGCGAACTCGAGATCTCTCCGGCAGGCTACTACGACCAGAACCAGGAAACCCTAGCGGAGGAAGGATGAAGCCCTTGAGACCACGCAGAGCCGAAATCCATGGTTCTGCAAGAAAGGGGTAAATATAGCGACGAAAGAATGACGCGTCTTCATCACCATCTCCTTCTTCTTCTTCTTCTTCCTCCTCTTCTTCTTCTTCAAGTGGGCATTAAGAGGATCTCGTCCTCTTCCTCTGACGCGGCCAGAAACCCACATGACGTGTCTCTCCCTCCCCCGTCCCCTCTGCATACTGCCGCCGCTGCGCACATACTGAGGAAGAAAGATAAGAAGATACTCTGCCCTTTCCTGAAATACGGGCCCCCACGGTCGCGCACATCGCCATGATTGAGGTCTGAATCGATTCCCCCTTCCTCATTTCTATGCACGATCAAGAACAAAACTTTAGCAAGATAATGAACCAGGATATTGCCGTTGAGCAGATCTCACCTAATCTCAAGTTGACCGAGCAGACTTCGAAATATCACAAAGCCGATTCTCCTCCAAGATCACACCTTTTTTTTTTTTTTAACCAACATCCGCAGGGTAGTAAGAGATTTCAAGAATCTGGTTGGTGGGCAGAGGCATTCATGGTGAACCCAGGAGCTTTCACTTCATCTTTATTCTGCTTTCATCTTCTACTACCATCGGTCCGGTTCAGAGACCCCATAATCGAGAGAATTCAAAAGCATGGCATCCAACTGACAGATTTATGGGGAGAAAAAAAATGCAGAAATGATTTGTCATGATGCAGAGGAAATGTGTAAGTACCCACAATGTTTTCATGGGAAGCTCGCAGGAACTCTGCCCATAATTCTCAGCTGATGAATCATGATGACATCTTCACAACGTGGTTCAGAGGCATCTGATCATCCTCATCTCATCTGGGGATATCCCAGTTTGGGAATATTACTCTCCCAAGTTGGGGTGCGCTCCATGTGATGGGGCCTTCACAGTGCTCTTCAATCGAGTAGTCCAGAGAGGTGGGACCCTCAGTAGTCTGGGTTCGCTAGAAGAGGGGCAGCAGAAGAATGGGTTCTTCCCAACGTGTAACCCCTACCCGCCTGTCACCATGTGATAATCTGCACCACGCATCATCATCATCTTGATCATCATCTCCGACATGGTGGGCCCCCTCTAAGCTCAGACGTCTCTAGCTCTTCTCCATCCCTGCTCTGGTTTGTCAAGAGCAGATGTGACAGCAGAGTGACAAAGATCTACAGAAATTCCTCCAGGTGCTTTTAAAAGCATATTTTGGCATGTAAATCCGATTGGAGCAGGCGATCAAAGGGCTACGGATGTGAAGGAAAGACTGAGGGAGGGCCCACACTAGCGCATGGAAAAAAATATAAACTAAATGGGGAATCCGGGAAAGACAATATTTTGACCGAGGACCAGCTCAGATGGATGGTTTTTCTAAAGAAGACATTACTGATGTAGATCGATGGAGATGCTTTAGAGAACCCACAGGCATCCCTTGATAAAGTAAGAGAGAGAAAGAAAGACAGTCAGATATGAAGGGGGGGGAGTTCACAGTTGTTCAATGGAGTTATCGCCCGGTAGTAAATGTCCCATCAAATCTGGGAGATTCTGGGAAATGCCTGTGGCCGATCCCCGCTGGAAAACTGTGAATGCAGAGCCAAACTTTGAGCTCTTGCCGCACTGTCAGATCTTCGTCCACCATAATTAGAAGAGTACCAATCACTGTTCAGTGATAGGGCCAGAAACTATCTCTTGAGCTCGGTTCATCACAAGTAACAGATACTTCTTCTGAAAGCCTTTAACTATACCAGGGTACACGAGTTCTTCGGCCTGTAGAAGATCAGTGAACTAGGCTAGACAGCTCAGCTCGGCTTCTCTACCATCGGAAGGTAAGTCTGCAGATTTCTGGCAAAATAAGAATAGAAATTTCATAATTGGGAGATGTTGGGTATGTGATAAACAGACGGAAGTCATCAGGACTTCGGATGAATCCCACTTAATTTCTGTCCTCCGTCCTCTATATCCCACTCGGCCCAACAAGAACCATCTGGGTTCATCAAAATCATGGCGATGCGTTTAAACAGTTCAGCACATTCCAAATGGTAGAAAACTTCCCATTAAACTGACGACATTCAATTTATTATATTGCGCAGCAAGAGCATTTCTCGGGGGTTTCAATGGAATTCATCTGATACGAGCGGGTTTAAATCGAGGTAAATATTTAACGCTAAGACTTACGTCGACGATTACTTCGATTGTTAATGGCGAAGAAAGACTTTTATTTATGTAATATTAACGCCAGGAGTTATCGCAGTCGCAAACGAATTATGCCTCTTGGACGAAGAGTTTTGAAGCCTACTAAGAACTCCCGTGACTGAGTTTCGATAGCATAGAGGTAAGCCCATAGAGAGAGAGTATTACAGAAGCGCTAAAGCGATGAATACGAATGAGAAGAACTGGATCCGGTTTTTGAAGAGGGAAAAAGAGAACGATTCACTCAGATTTGAGGCACTCCACGTATCATGGACACAATCCGCTCTCTATCAAGGACCGGCGAATCGATCAGATCGGCTAATCAATACACGGTGATCAACGATTTGGAGCGCATCAAACGACCTAATTCATGGAAGCCTCAATCACACCGAAAGCTCCCAACACCAATGGAATCGCAGGGAACCGGAATTGGAGAAACTCCACATCTCCCACAAATTCGGAGCAAAAAACTTCGCAGAAAACTGTCTCGAATAAGATTGAATCAGAAAATCGAGGTGATGTAATGGTATATGGAGGCGGACTTGCGAGAGGAACAGCGGGCGGCGCAACGAGGCACTGCGTCGCAGAAGCGCAAGCCCGTACTATGAGACCATCGGGATTTACTGTCGGGGCTCGCAAGCCGGCAGGGGGGCCCGCAGAGAACCTGCGGGTTAATCGGAGCTAACAGAGGGCAGCGTGGTTGCGAAGCAGTCACCCGCCATAGCTCTCCCTATTCAGTAGCATTGACAAGCCCATCAGAGAAAGAAGCACGAGAAATGGAAACCCGGGGCAGAATCAGAAGACTGGGGACCCGAACGAGCGCCGAGAAACACCGCGAGAAAGGAACGGAAGAGCAAACAAAGGAAGATGAAGATTCTCCCCGAGAAAAACCCTAACTGATATATATATATATATATATAGATGAGAAATAATGGGCAGCCTCACATGGGTTTAGTTATCGGCCCATTGGACCTAACCCCAGTTCTACTATTGCTATTTCTACAAACTATTCTCACAAATAACAGATCCTACAAGGGGATAATAACACCAAGAGAAACTTTAGATATATACCCAACAGATCCATTAATCTCTCTCTCTCTCTCTCTCTCTCTCTCTCTCTCTCTCTCTCTCTCTCTCTCTCTCTCTCTCTCTCTCTCTCTCTCTCTCTCTCTCTCTCTCTTGCTCCCTCTCCCTCTCTCTCCTTCTCTCTCTCTCTCTTGCTTGCTCCCTCTCCCTCTCTCTCCTTCTCTCTCTCTCTCTTGCTTGCTCCCTCTCCCTCTCTCTCCTTCTCTCTCTCTCTCTCTCTCTCTCCTCTCTCTCTCTCTCTCTCTCTCCTCTCTCTCTCTCTCTCTCTCCTCTCTCTCTCGCTCACACACAAACACCCCACCAAACACCCCCACACGTACGTGGGGTAAAGAAGATATTTAAGCAATATGCATCACTCACTCCCAGCCAAAGTTATGGACACCAAATCATAGAGAATAAGAATATGAAGACAACTTG